ATCAAACCCCCCACTCCCCTCGCATCAAGCGAAATGGGGGCTCAAGAAAACGTGCGGGGATAATACTGCAGTGACGGTACCTACTTCGCCTCCGGTGTTTCTGATGGATCGTAAAAAGAAAAGTAACGGCGGATATTGCTCCCTCTGTTTCAAACTGGAAATCTCCTCTTGCCAATTTGCTATTTTCCTTGTCATTTTGGTAACACTTTCCTGTTGGTTTCCATGGTCCCACATGCGTACACTTATTTCAAGTGTGTCGATAGAAGCTTTTCTGTTGTGAAGAATCTATCGAAAGCAGCATAAGCATCTTCTTTTCTTACGTCTTTAGTTATGTCTATTACAGCACTTTCACCTTAATTTGAGGCAATTGTTCGCTTTGCATTTTCCTTTTTATGTATCAATTTGCATTACGTAACCACTGAATGAATCTGACAAGCACCACACGTAGCCTCGTTTCACAGGCTTCGTAAGCTTGGATTGTTTCATTGATGATCTCTCTTTGAAGTGTATTATCGATTGAACTGACAGAAATGACGATGGTTCGAAGTGAACATTGCAGTTCTGTAAAAGCTTATCGATCAGTGGTCTCAATTGGTGCAGCTCATATTCAGGACGATCTCTTGTTTTTTTTAGCTTCATTGTCATTACAGTAAGGCGACCAGATCTTAGAAAACAAAAAGCTGAACTTTGAGACTTTTTCTTAACTCCAAAAACCAGACACATGTAGATAATAAGAAACATTATACGCTAGTAAACTACATTTTTAAACATTAATGGAAATTAATAGCATTAATAAAAATAAAATTAAGTCCTCAATTTTAAATTTCTTTCTAGTATTTGTAGAAATTGCCTTTTGTAAACATGGTACATTATTTGCAACGTAATCTTGCAATTAGAGTTGTTTCATTTGCACTTGAATTCATTATGAAGTTGGCCTGTATTCCTGAATTAAGATCTGTCTTGACAGAGGTAGATTGCCCAAAAGCGGTATCTCAAGCGCTGCGATGCAGATTTTTGCGGAAGCTGGACAGTAAAAATGCGAAAATGAATGTTAATATAAATGCGCATGTGTAGTCCACTCGGAAATTGGAATACGCATACTCTCTTTGCTTTGTCTTACTACTGTTACAAATCTATTATGACATGCACAGAAATTTGATCAGTTCTTTTCTTTCTTTAGTAAATACTAATTGCAGAGAAAAAGAGGAAAGATAAATGTATTTTGTGTGATATTGTAGTTTTATTTATTATATTATTTTTTTATTTATTATACTTTTTAAAATACATAATATAAAATTAATAAGATAAAATAAAGTGATCTACAATTAAAAATTGTATTTGAAATTCATTGAAGTTATTTTATAATTATTAATTCCAAGGCAGTATGTCGGCAGAGAGAGAGATGGATAAATCTTCCAAATGAGATAGAAAAGGAAAGTAATTCGTGTCAGATGAATGACTGAAATAGGCCACCTGCGTATATTACAACCCCTACGTGAGTACGCTTCGACACGTAACGCTTCCTCTAATCTACTATTACTATACGTGTCACTTTCTTTGTCTTACAAGACACAACTGGTGGTTGTCCACATGCGTACCTTGAGAGCAGTGTGTCTCGATGCTCCGCAAGTGCAAGACCCGCCAAATTGTCAACTAAAAATTAAATACAAAATAATTTTCATAAATTGTAAAAATGCGGATTTTTTAGTCGTCCGCATGACTTGATGCGGATTGAACGTTGAAAATTAGCTTCCTCTGGGAACCCTGATGAAGATTGCCTGCCAAGTCCCACAAAAGCAGAAGGTTCGCGTTATTGGGTTTGAATCTCTTGCTCGTTATTACGTCGTCGATTGAATCTAATTTTATAGTGCGAGTTTTAAAAAGCTGCGCCTCATGACTGTGACATTAGGTTTGTGCATTTCGCGTCTTGGTCGTGCTTATAGATGTCATGACCCTATCAAGCAGTGCTTGATACGGTCACGATGATGCGACTTCTAGCAACACGCTCGAGAAAGACGCGAAATGCAGTGGCATAATGCCATTCTGAAGACGGGCCTTGAGGCGCAGCTTTATAAATATCGCACTGTACTAGTGGATCTGAACTCCAAAAATTACGGAGGTGGGGAGATCCCGTGAATATTGGGCATCCTACAAACGCATCCATTTCTTGAAAATTTGTTTTTACACAACTTCTTCATGGTTGTCTATTGTCATGATTTTGTTTTGCAAATTAGTTTCTTTCACTATTAGCGTGAAAATATAAAATAATTTGGAAAAATACTGTAGCTTTCAATCTCTGACACTAAACAGATGTTTCAACTTTCCTTTCTCCGGCCTTCAAAATTGCTCTTAAAATTTTTTTTAACTAAGTGCAATCAGTGTCCCATTCATCTTCATATTCCCTTTCCGAAGTGTCGTCATTCTCATCGGTTACGGGAAGAACAGTCTCATATATCAAACCGTGAGAGATGACTCGGGCATCAACTGATGTCAATGCAGTCACTCAGACCGGGAGGCCCTGGGTTCGTGTCCGACGGTGGCTGGATTTTCGACCCTAGCTTGTTACCTAGGTCGAATTCTGTCAGGAGAAGGAGGATTTTTAAGACTGGCTGCTCTGATCGGAGTTTTCCCTTGTTTCTCCGATTAACACCAGGCGAATGCCGGAGCACTTTTTTAACACACCTCACCCCCTTACAGCCCAACACACACACACACACACCACACCACACACACCACACACACCCACACACAACGAACACAGCCACAGCACACACCCCACACACAGGCACACCACACACACACACCACACACACCACCACACACACACCACACACACACACCACACACCACACCACACACACACCGACACACACGACACACCACACACCACACACACACCAACACACAACCCTACACCACACACCACATCCACGACCCACACCCACACACACACACCACACCACAACAACAGCCACACCCAACCACACCCACACACACCACACCACACACACCACACCACACCACCGACACCACCCCAACCAACCCACACCCCCCCCCACACACCACACACACACCACACACCACACACACACCACAGGCCACACACACACCACACACACCACACAATACACACACACCACACCACACACACCACACCACACACATTACCCTGCCACACATGCCGGAAAACCCGTTAGGAGCTAAGAGCTTGTCCCGGCTGGGGCGGTACCCCGCTGGAGGGAGATGGTTGAGTAAAACCCCGCTAGCCGACCTCCCGAGCAAAAAACATTACACTTACAGAACTACACAATAGGGCAAAGTCAAGCACTCCCCTCTCGAGGGCGTAGTGCATCACAAAAGCCGATTTGGCTATTGACTTACACGTAGCAGTAAAACGCAAAATGCGTGCGCGCTGCAACACCAAGCACACTAACCTTTGGCTAACCCAGTGAAAAATATTTTCAGTACCAATAAACATCATGTACAGTAGCAACAGGTGAGAGAACTGTCAGAGCCGCTTACACGCTGACGGAACTGTAACTTTTGTAACGAAAATATACAAATAAGGCCCAAATATGCAATTATTGTCATATATGAAAATATACGAAATAAAAATTGCTTAAATTGCTTCGAAATGCTTTAAAACATATACAATTTATTAAAACGGATATTTAGTTTAGCAGAAGAAAAAATGCAAATGCATATCAATCACAGCCCTAGTATCCATATTGCACCACAATTCCATTAATTCACTTTCTTTTCTTTTCTTCTCTCTCTCTCTCTCTCTCTCTCTCTTTTTTCCCTATAAAAAGTGGATTATTTTGTAATATTTAGAAATATCCTCCACTCTTCAACTTACTGCAAGTACAACCTTTTGGATGTAATAGATGAGAAATCGTCATGAAACTGCTGCATAAATACAAAAGCCATGGGGAAATTTGTCTTTCTAGCTGAGGAGAATGAATTGTAGTTGCACCACAAATTTTTAAACAAGGAATTGATACTGTGTAGTACACTCTCATACACCCAAATGTTACGACATTGAGAAAGGGATGTTAAATTTCACAATTATAGGAATGAAGGAAAATTAATGAAGTATGATTCAACCTCAATTCTACTTTTATTGAGTAACATAGCCCTTCAGATGTAGCATTTTCTTTTAATATATATAACAACATTTCTAGGCCTAAATAAAATAAAACCTAGAGACATAAAAATGTTAAATTAAATGGCCTTTATAGCATGTACCTACTTGAGAAAGCTTCATTCTCTTTGTCTAAATTTTATATTTGTAATTGTTTTCCTAGGCTACCAGTTGGACACTGCAATAATGGATAAGGATAAGTGCATTCACTTGGAAAATTAGAAATGAATTGCAGTGTGTTTTAAACTGATTAGTTCTCGAAAAACTGAATAAAAATCATTAGGTAGTACCCGAGATGTGAATGTTAGATACTCTTGGAATGGTTTGAATTCTGACATCTTTTTACAGTTATCTTGCATAAATTGTTGTGCCATATATGTATTGGAACAAATCCACTTTTTTCAGAACACTTTTTCAAGAATGTCTTGAGTATATTTTTTGGTTAAGAAATTTCAAAAATAATCTTCAAATTATTTCACTTTCTTAGTCTAAACCACAGCTGAAATTTAGACTTTTAAAGACATGAATTTTCGTTTACAATAATGGATAAAACTCTGTTAGTATAGGATGTCTCAGAATAAGTGTTACAGCATGTTCAGAGATCGATGATGATCACTTTGCTAATGAACATAGGGAAATGTAACTAAGATACACAAGTGAGATTTACCTCTAATTATTAGGTATTTTATCATGCACTGGTGTTTGGGAGATACATGAATTCTCTTTGCATTAACGTATCCAGCTGAGAATGTTCTTGGCATATGAGGAGTTCCCTGACACTCTGGGGCAAATCTCACATATGTAACTTATTTACTACATTTTATGAAATTTCCTAACACACATTCATCAGCAAAAGATGATCATCTTGAATCTCTACATGCCAAGAAACATTTATTCTGAGTCAGCGGTACAGTCTTCTTTTAAAGAATATTTATAATGAATATTTTCTATGCAATATGGAACAATTTTTTTAAACAATTTTTATTGTATAAAACCAGGAGAATACGAGAACAATGCGTTTCTGTACACAGAAGAAACAGAATTTCCAAAAATAAATTGTAGATGCAAATTCCTTGGCAGAATATGAACCATAAATGGCAGATGTTTGCAGACTATTTATTGTTGAGAAAATAAATTCGACCATAAAATTTCTTACCCAATAATTATTGCATAGTATTGAATCCTTGGAACTCAAGACATTAGTGAAAGGGATTTGAAGATGAGTTTTTAAAGCTAAACTGTAGTAAGTAATCAGCTTTCAAAAACATTCTACACATTTAACTGTGATCTGGTATGTTACTTGTTTGAATGTTGTATGACATGGAGGTCATGTGTCCTTTCTATTTTTAGGATGATTTGGTTTGTCCAGATGGTTACTTCAAATATAGCAATATGGTGTACACCCTACAAGTAGGATGAAAATGATAGTTGTTCATTACTTTGATTTCATTTTGAATAATTTTTATTATGTTTCTATGTACGTAAATAGTAATGGCTTCAAACACTAAATACTGAGTGTGTCTGAATGTAGAAAATTAAGAAGTAACACAGCATGTGCACATTTCAGTTTTATATAGTAAATTTTTTATATGCAGGAATCTCTTCACCAGGAATTAGTGAATGCATTTGGCTCAATGATCTGTTTAAAACTGACTTCAATTTTTTAGTGGGTTTTTATAAGTAGGTAGTAACTCTTGGCCTCATTACACATATTATGATTATTTCAACTTTCTTTCAAAGGATTTTCTGATAATTTTCATCAAATATATCATAAAGAATACTTTCATCCTCTCATTTTCCATATTTTTACAAAAACAAATTTATTAGAGCAAACTGTTGGTTTGGAAATAGCTCAGGTACAGTTGTGCTTTTGGATGCTGATAATTTTTGGATTCAGTATACTGTATTATATCAGCCATCATCTCTTAAAAGAATCTAGGTTTAAATCTCAGCAAGCAATAAAGTTAAAAATATAAAACATTTTTTTCCAAAAATGATTAATTTGTTAAACTTTATGGTACAAACATTTGTTATCATTCACCCGTAGTGGTGAACAGATACATTAAATGACAAATTGGAATTTTTCCAAACCAGCAGTTGCCCTTTACAAATAATAAATTTAGTATTCCAAAAATATTTACTTTAAATTAATTCAGTATTTAATTTTCTACAGACCAGACACTCCCTGTAAACAAGGATCTTACATGAAATAATAGAAGTGTTTTCATTCTCAAGACAAATATTTTGAGGCATTCTGTGATATGTTCCGTTCCGTGCAAAGAAATGGGAAGCATTGATTATAACAGAAAAAATTATTAATATAATAAAAAATTATGAAATTTCAGAAAGGAACTATAATTTTATTCATTCAAGGGAAGAACAATTTCTCCATGCAAAATTTTCACCACATTCCACAGGCCTGTTTGGGCCAGGGTTGATAAAATTATAATAATATTCAATAGAAGCCCCATAAACCTGACTTTTCAACCATCCCCACCCTTGCATTTAAAATTGACTGCTTCAAAAAAATTAACAAAGGTGATTTTCTGCCAACAAACAAACATCCCCAAACTGCAAAGTAGAATTATTTTTTGTGATGTTGCCACATCTTAAACTTTGTTTGTATCCTGCAAATTACAATGATCAGAAAAAGTTGGTTCTTCCACTAGTTCTCAGATACAGTGCAAATATACCTGAGGAAGATATGTTGAAATGAAGTATTTGTAAATGATGTGGATATGTAGAAGGCCAACGGTAAATTAAAGTTTCAGTCAAAGGAAAAGTAATGGTCTACTGCTGTGTGGGCGGCACAGGGGGAGCTTGGTCAATGATGAAAAGGTCAATCAGACAATGAATTCAAAAAAGCATGATCATGTATGGAGGCAAAAGAGAGTACCTGGGAGATTAAATGTATATGTTTTTCTTGAAGTTAGGTAAGTCCTAAAGATTTACCAGAGCCTGACTGAAAATTACTGTGTAAAACATTTGGCCTGAATGGGAGGAACGTGATGGAAGTGTCAAAGGTAAATAGTGAAGGCCAAGAGCCTTAATGATGTAGATTATTTTGAAGTGAATGTTAAAATTAGTAGAAATAATTTTGAAATTGGTTCATTTGCCTACTATAAACCCCATACTTGTGCTTCATTTTTGAAGGAAAGATAATGTCACATTAGAAATGTGCAAGGAATTCAGAAAAAAATAATTATAATTCTTAAAATATAAGATTAGTTACACATTGAAAACTTCTTCATATTGAACATATGGCATAGGTATCTAAGTGATTTTTAATGAGGATTGCTCAGAAACAAGAAACTATATTGTCAGGCGATTGTAAGGATATTGTTACTCTCATCATTCAATTACTCATTTAATCTGCCTTCAATATGATTTGTTTAACTCTTGATTAATTCGTTTCTAAAAAGTGTAAGTAGGCCCTTCTTTCATTAATAAATTATAAATAAATGGTAAAAAAGACAGGTGTCATATTTTAATATATTGCTTATTGACTAACAAAACTAAAATGTGAATGCAATGTGTTTTATTGTGCATTATTTTGCTTTTCCATTTCTTTGCAAGTCTTCCAGTTAGGTCATGAATGGATGGAATAATGAAAACAATTAACATGAAACATTACTAAAATACAATACATAAGATTACATGCATTCCCAACAAAACATAGTTACTAAATTAATTACCAATTCTTTTCATGACCTAGCTCTGATAAGTGTTAAATTACAATTTATTATTCAATATTGTGACACTTTTTGTAGTAATATAAAAATATGGGTTTCAAATTGGCCATAACTACCAACTGTTTTAAGAATGCACTATGTATCTTTACCCTAACATTAGTCTGCCAGAAAAGTGAATCTTCCCTTTTAAACACTTAAGTTTGATTTGAGAAATAATTAATTATTTTTAATACTTTGAAATCACAACAAACAATTTTTACTTAACATGCTTAATTTTGATTGTTTATTTTCTTGTTTTCTTACCATGAATAGATTTGTTATACGATGGTGAAAAGCACCAAAAATTAGCCAAGCAATGTTGAGTGTGCCAGCTGGCGTGGCCTAAAGCAACAGGCCAAAGAAGGTTAATAAACTATGGTAATGGAAGTGAATAATAAAGTAACACTGGTGGAATGTATACAGGGTACATGAGAGATGTCCTAGCCATCTTTTATAAATCAGCTTTACCCATCACAAATTCCATATCAATTGTCTGTATTTTGAACAGCAGTCTCTGGAAAGGAATGCTGGGTTTCAGATATATGCCAGCAATTCAATTGTTTATTTCAGAAACCCGTCAAACACTAAATTGCTCATTTCAAGAAAACTGACGAAAAGTCTCCAAATTTTCTGTTTTCAGAATATTTATTAAAGCAGTTGATAATTAATATTGTTCATATAAATATGCACTATACAATGTGTCTATCCTCCTGGGGCAATGATTCGCCGCTAATGCATATTTTAGATTTTGGCGTTTGACGGGTTTCTGAAATAAACAGTTTGGTGAGCACACTAAGCATTTCTGTTAAAGAACAGCTGTGATTAAAGCCTTTTCTGTACCATAATAAAAAAATGTAGAATAAGGGATGATGCACTTCATGGCAATTCATTAAGTAAATACAGTTGAATATATTTCTACTCAAAAATACTTTTTCTGTAGCATCTAAAACTAGATAAAAAATATGAAAGTTTCTTCTCAACATTATCTACAAAGCCTTTTACATTTGTCTACAAGTTGATACTTATAGTTATTCAATAGGAAAGTTTGTACAGTATATTTATCTACAAAGAGCTTACAATTCTTAATGGTAACAACCATTATATTCTAATTCAGAAATATCAATAAATATTAGGTGATTGGTTCTTTCTGCCACAAGTACAGTTCAGTTCATAATAATACAAATTATGATGGAAGTTGAGCAGCTGTGTTGATATTTCAAGAGTATGCAAGAAATATAAGCATAAAATGTACCAGAATTACTTTCCATAAGTTTAAACTACAAAATCTGGTACAATTAATAAAATAATATTTTAGTTAAATTTCTTCATCAAAAGAACTTTTGGCCTTGTGAATCTAAAAATTGTGATACCTCCTTTCTAAAGGCAGAAATCTCCAGGTCCTACAACTAATAAGGCATACTACGTGTCTAGATCACACTGCAAAGCACTGAAGTGATATGTATTAGTTTTTCTATTGTTACCACTAGGTGGTGACAAAGAAGCTTTTCTTAGAACTTGGGAGAATTCCCACAAGATACTACACAGAGTGTACATCTGTGTCACAAAAAAATACAATGCGAAAAATTTGCTAAAAACTAAACCCCAGAACTTCATCTGTTAGTGACTTTTTGGAGGCAGAGACCTATCTTGGCTTTTAGTTGCTTAACAGTCCTGCCACCCAATGCTTAAATAACTTGGTAATGAAGATGATTATGAACTTTTATAGTAAGCAAGCTGGCATGAATTTTTTGCTCAGGCATCCACAATAACAATGTTAATTTGAAAGCATATATTTGAATGATAATAATGTATTAGAAATATTTTTGTTTTAAAATTAATGAAAAAGACATTAATTTTCCCTAGAAGTCCACAATAAATTATATGTGCTATTTCAATACATAATTCTGGCTTCAATAATATTTCACCAAAGTAATTGCACTTAACTTGCTTAATGGAGAATTGTCTGTACCTATTGAATAGATGTTTAGTCAATAACAAGTGAAGTAATGGAGTCAATTGACTTGAGGATATACAAATGTTGTTGATGTATAACTATACAAAAATAATATACATTATGTACTCCAAACACTTGGCATTTCATGACAATTTAAAAAATGACTTGTTGATAATACTGTTTCAAGTGGTACTGGATATTACAGCCCAAACTCATACATAATAATTAGAGTTTAATTAACGATGCCATGAGTAACATTTAAATTTGCATCTGGGCCAATATTTTACCTTTCAAGATCAACAGCACAGAATGTGAATGAGAAATGCATTTGAATTTCAATGATTTTTAACTGGCCCCAGGTGAAAATTGACTTTTTTAATTTACTCATTAACTTTTGAAAACGGTTTCAGCAAATTCTATGGAATAAAACATTAAATACTATTGTTCCTCAATAATTCTTCCTTAAAGAAAATGAAATATTTCTCAAAATTCATTAGCTGTATGACATACAAAAAATAAAAAAAAGCATTTGATATGTCACAATTGGGCAACTATAATAGTGATATGTGTATTGAAAGTGCATTTTTCTGAATACTCTTCATAAAAATATGCATCTTGTGAAGGTTCTACCACCTCCTCTAATCTACTTCAAATATTATTTTTCTTCAGCTCCAAGTCTAATATGATTAATAACTCATAAAATAAAAGTGAAGACACTAAATGCTAAGATTGTCATTCTTTTGATATATGATCCTCTGTTTTAATTGACTGTACTTGAAATTCTGAATCAGGACACTCTAAATCAATTCTATTGTAGGATAAATCTACCTGCTGTGAAAGATTGATAGAACTAGAGGTTTCAATCATATTCTCTGTATTTGGAACATCTGTGCTTGGAATGCATCCAGAAACAGAAGGTAAATTTGTACCTTCTTGAACCCTCATATTTGCAACCATATTAATAGCTTCTTCTCCTAGTTCAGTGTCAATAGAAGAATCATCAGTTTGGGCCAAAGGTGAAGTAATTTTTGTGGTAGTGTAATGTTGTACTCTTGAGCTTAGCATATTGTCCGACTTGGAAGGTTGTAGTGATAGCAAAGAAGGCTGTAATGAACACACAGAATAATTATTTCCTCATCTTTTTTATATCCCATGGTGAAACTAAGTACTTATCAATTTGTCATGATTATAAGATGCAAATTAGTGAATAACCTAATTAAAACCCTAAAGAAGTGGAAAAGTGATGCCTTTATATTGACTATGCATTTGAAAATGCGCACCAGAGAGGTCTTTATTTTGTAATATTGAGCTGAGTTGTTTTAATGGGAACACATACTATCACACCAAAAAAATAGTTTTAATAGTTGTGATCTGGTCTGTCCAAGTGACACCGCATCAAAGGCTGAGATGCCACCCTTTCGACCAACATATTGCGGTCTTCTTCAGGGCTGTAATGTCCTGGAGAAGTCTGATATGTTAGACAAAACATCGGCATTTTATCCTTTGATGCAGGGACACCTGATGACTCCGATCATGACTCTGGCCGAGGAAGCCTAAGACACCATAGGGTCCACACATTTTCTGTAACAAGAGCATTTACCTCCCCCCCTCCAGGAATGTCCTTGTTAATTATTGAATTTCTTTAAGTAACTGTAAATACATAACTGTTAACTATGAATATATTTTGCTCCGTAAACTGTAAAAAGAATCTTAAAACTGTTTTTCTAATGAATTCTCCTGAATTTTAAAATAAAGATTAACTTACACTTTCTCTTCCTCGAGGTTGTGAAATTCCAGGTAAGTCTGATTTGGACTTAGTCAGTCTTGCTTCAACATCAAGAGCATCCTCTCGAGTACGTATACCAATAACCTTTAAAATTGCTGACATTTTGTCTGGATATTCACTATGCCCTAAAACATGTAAATGGTTTTTACAACTTCAGAAGAAATTAATATCAGACACATTTGGCAATAAGATTGAAACTTACTAGTTACATTCATTTCAAGACATTTTGCAAATAGGACACACAAGACAAACCACATACATTTAAAATTTGAAGCTGTGAAATCTTGTCATTCTCTCTCTTATTAAGGAAGAATACAGTAACAAAGGCTTGGGAAATATCTTAATAACAAGTGTAAGGAATTTCAAGGAATAGTGGAATTAGTTCACACAAGGGACCAGTTTTGTTTTTTGAAGGTGTAAACCCACAAAAGGACAATTAAAACAAAAATGTCCAACTTTCATAACTGCAACTTGCCCTTTCAAAAGAGACATTTCCATCTTTACAAATACAAAAGGTTAAAATCCACATTTTTATGTTAACTGTTATGTTTAATTTTGCTTTTTATGTATGATGCTTGGTTATTATTAATATAGTATTTCTTTTGTATATGATAAAAATCAGCAAAATAAAAATATGTGAAGAAACCAGCCAATGCTAACATTCTATGAATTTGTGTAAAAGGTCTTGCCCCAGCTAGGGGTTAAAATACTTGACAAGTTTTAATTTCCCAGTTCAACAACAGATCATGGGGAAGGGATTCAATGGAACAATTTATGGCCCTCCCTAAGCATTCAGACGAGTGTCTGACCGTAGGTGATCTAGGGGGTTCACAATTGGTGCTAAATGTGTTTAGCTTCTTATGTATTAAGTAACTAAGGATTGTATATTTTCTTATTGTCACTGAAGCAAAACACACAGTACTCATTTCAATATAAGAAAGTTCGAATTTTGTGCTCATTATGGAACATTATATACAAAATATGTGATCTGTAGAAAATACATGAAAATTAAGGAACTTACCTGCAACAATTTCACTAAGATTAACATTGCAGATTCGACGATCTTTACATTCCACTGGTTGCAATCCAGCAACATCACTGGATATAGATAAGGTTCTATATAGGAACTTCAACAACCAATCACTCCTGTAAGTCACCGAAAAGGTCAGATAAAGAATTTTTTAAGCACAAAAAACTAATCTATTCTACTTACTTGCAATATCCATTTACTATTTTACCAGCCACAACTCTTGTCAAAGGTTGCCACTCTCTAGGAGAACCTGTCACAGGAGCTCCTAATAATACAACATCTTGAATTATGCCTTCACAATCTTTCCTCTGGGACATTTCCTGGGTAAATAAACAAACTTATTAATTGAATTTATTTAAAACTAAAAAATAGTTAAAAACCATGAGTAACATACTTTAGAGGAAAAATCGAAACTGTGAACAATAAAACTAATTTAGAATTGTTATAATGGTTGATTATTTATTGTTTCCACCTGCATCAACCATTATTGCCATTAGTCCCATAAGCTAAGTGCATGTTTTGTGAAACCTTGTGCCATATAAGGTAATAAAAAAAACATGAATTTGTGTGTCTATAATTAAAAAATTATTTGATAATTAATCCATAAAACTGAGTGCATGTAGTACCCTGGGAGGTGGCAGTGGTTTCCTCTGATGGAATGCCTGATGGCTACCTACAAGACATCTAGAGTGGTTTTCTCCCTTTAGGTAGCTCCCCCTAGCAGGGCATCTTCCAGCATGTGTGGTGATGTAACATGTGTAAAGGGCAGGAGGGGATAAGGATGAGGAAGGAAAGATTTTGCATGGTCTATTTGTTAGGATACTGTTCTGACACTCTCCTGGTATTGATCAGAGAAGCCACTGAAAATTACCAATCAGAGCAGCCTCCAGACAGTGATTGGATACAACCTAACAACGTACTTAATGGCAAAAATACGTCACCATCGGGATTCAAAACCTACAACCTACTGATCAGCAATACTTCCACTGAACCATTGCAGCCAGTCTTTTATAATGTTTAAAAATAAGTCACAATAATGTATTTAATTTATTAGACAATATAAAACACTTATGTAACAAGATAAATATGTCAAGTTACCAGCAACAGCCAGATGATGACAAATATGACTTAAACGCTCTAAAATAGAAGTATTATTAAGTATGTGTTCAAAACAAATTAATTTCTCAGGTTTGTAATGACTACAGACAAGTCATTTGTTGTCTGTTGAAGTTTTTGAATTGTTTATATAAGTTAAACACCATTATAATAAAACTTCTTTTTTTAAGATTCTTTTTAATAAATGTATAAACCAACTGTTAATGTTAGTTCTTCTCTATGAATTACCACATTTAGTTCGAGTTCTTTATATCAATTTCATGCTAAAATATTTAAAGTTTAGCATGATTGTTGACTAATTAAGATTTGTAAAAATGTGTAGATGCATTTTTGTATTTTCATCATCCACACATATCTGTATCATATCTATTTGCGCCTTACAGATATTACAGCATTTCCTAACATTCAAATTAATCATAAAGTAGTTGCAAATTTTTTATTTTAAAATTGTGATTTTCTTTTGTTGCTGAAATACATTAATCATGTCAATAATTATGCTTCAAAAATGTAATTTATAATGTCTAGAATAATATCATAAATAATGCTTTAAAAAATGTAAAACTACAAACAAACAGTTTCTCTGAAGTTCAGAACTATTTTTAATGTTTGTTAAACTTACGCATAATATGCATTATAGTAAGGTCTTCTGAAATTAGAGTCTTTCTATCTAGTTCCAAATGTGAGAACAAAAATATTACTGCATATTTACAAAATAAGTTTCATAAGGCATCTTATTACAATATGTGACTGGAACAATTGGCCATCATGACTTGTTGGAAAGCCAATCAAGTTAGCTGTAAAGCTAGTAAAATATATGAACAGTCAAATATGCAAATTCAATTTGGAAAAGAAATATAAATAGGGTTGGGCAGTATTTAAATACTTGTATTTGAAATATGTATTTTAAATACATTTTGTAATTAAAAAACAGTATTTTTTTGGGGACATGTATTTTGGAGATCTATTTAAATACGTATAATAGGTGTATTAAAAGAATAAATACTTAAAATACATTAATAAAAATAAAATTTGTGAATCTTTTTTTAACTTTCTCACTATCCCTTACACACTAGAGAGAGTTATGAAATGCCTTCTGCGGTTTAAATTCAACTACAATATGTTGTAATATAAATCTTTACAAATGGAAAGGTATGTTGTAGAGCAGGAGCTCACAATTGTAGGTACAAATTGTCTTTAATAAGACCTGATAATACATTGAAAGAATGTACTCATCAGAACAACTCTTCTGGGAGTTTTTGGAATAGGTTCTCCTTCAGGTATTCTGTCACCAAATAATCTTCAAATTTGGATGAATATTATCATGCCTTACAGAAAATTGTACGTTGTTAAATAATCTTTGTAGAAAGGAAATATTTATGCTCAACCAACTTACATTAAGTGCAGTTGACAAGTGAAAGCATGATAGACTTTAATGAACTTACTCTCAAACAGTAATATATGACTCTAGCTCCCAGACTGAAACCAATGAGTGTCACCGGTCGATGCCCTTGTTCACGAGCAAGAAGTACTTCTGCCAGTTGCTTTCCTACTTCAGCTGACCGCCGGCAGCAAACTCCCCAAGGATTATCAATTACAGAAGCAAGAGTAACGAGTGAAGAAGGCCAGGCAATGGCACTGATCAAACCTTCAATATACAAGAAAACATTACATTTATTTTTGTGATGTCTGTAACCAATTAATTGGTATCAGGATTCATTTCTTACAGTTTTAAACTAAATCTCACTAAACTAAAATTTACTTAAATCTCATTTAACTATGAATTAAACTTAAATCTCATTCAAACTAAATACCTCACTTAATGAAGTATAAAATCTACCACTGGAAAAATATGTATACCGTAAACTGGGGTGGCTTTATGCTACTTTGGGAAGATTTTAGTAAATAACTTGTTTATTTTTCACATAATTAATAAAATTAATATGCATATAGCAAATTTCAAAACATGCTCCATTTATTTTATGTGGCGATAAGTATTGAAATAAATGTCTTAGAACAAGAAATTGTTACCTAAACTTGACATAAAGTCACCTCATAGGAAGGGGTGGCTTTATGCCACTACATTTATTGTATGTCTTTCAATACTGCATAGTGAGTGGCAGTTTCACCCCTTCTTCATGATTGCTTTGTTTATCACGACATTTAAAACTTTAATGAATATCTTTTAAATAAACATTTTGACACTGATAATGATTACAGAAAGTGTCCCCCAAATGATTTTTTAGCTCTGGAATAGTGCAGAGTCCTCTTTTTGATTTTAACTCAGGGTTTTGAATTTTCTCGATTATATCTTCATATTTGTGAAAAAAAAGTTCATCCCTATCCTGTAGCTACTTCCAAGACTCCTTGGATTTCTTCAAAACATTTACTTGTGCCAAAAATCACTTTCAATGGCAGTGACTTGTCCAAGAAACAGCTCTTCTTCATAAGCACCATTAGAAATTCTACTGTTATGGATTGTATTGATACTAATTTGGGAGTACTATTACTGAAGAAATCATTACTGCTTTAACGTTAATTAAACAATTTCTTATTTCCATAAGAAACTAAATGTACAATTCAACTAATTTAAAGAGAAGTGTTAAAAACTTGAAAATATCACATTGAATATTCAAGAGCTACTGGCACAAAGTCACCCCTTCATTTTCCATCAGTTTATTTCTCTCTCATGTTCAAAAAAGCTAAGAAAGTCAGAGAGTTGATACTAAAGCACTAGTTTAATGAATAATACTGTAATAAACTTATGTTACCCTCTTTAAAGATACTGTACTCTGAGTTACAGCATAAATTTTTTTTGAGGTACATGAGCACATCATCAATTGATGCAAAATTAAGAACTAAAAATGCAGGAGCACAGTAATGAGAATGCAGTTCACAAATAGTGTAATAGATTGCACTACTCGTCGGGTGCATTCAATATCCACCAATGTCAACATAATTTAAGGTAATAGTTTTCTAAAAGGTGCAGTGGCCCTGCACGTCACAAAGTGACCCTGGTTTATGGTATACACTAAACATTGTATGCATGAAAAATTACAGATTGTTTCAAAACAATATTTTTCTATATGCTTCCTAAAGTAAAAGTTTCTGAGTATTTGTTTCGTTGTTCAGAGTAAAATTTCTCATTATTTTAGTAACAGTTAATTAGTATATTAAAAATATTTTCAAAAGTAAATAATAGTGAGGAAAATAATTACATTCAAGAACTGTCACAAAATTACATGCCAATGTTTCAAAACAATGAAATGACTTATTGTAATCACACATCAATAAGTTAAACTATGTACCTGAAAGAATTGTATACTTTAATGCCTCTTGAGCAGCCATTGAAACAGCAAAAGACAAAATAAGTTCCATTGCCTTCCCTAATTCCAGCAAGTATGATGATTCATATCGAAGATAATACTGCTCTTTGGAACTTAGTAGAGAATGCCACGGTCGTGTAAAATTATCTTCTTGCTCATCACTCAGCCACCCTGAGATAGCAATAGTAATGTGAAGTTGCTGAGAAATAGGGCCACTGGCAGGCCCTGTCACAACAGGTGTAGAAGGAGTGGACGTTGAACTGCTATCAAAGCTGCTGGAACTATCTGTATCTTCTGAATGACTTGAAGAAGAAATGGAAACTGGAGATAGATATCCAAAAGCAAATTCTTCAATTTCTCCAACACGTTTTTTCATTTTGAAGCCTGAAATTAATTGTTTAAATTAAAGAGTACTTAAAACAAAAATTGCTATATTTTCACATCACCATTTTTTCCACATGTTCACTTCATAGTAAGTGCTAAAAGAATGGAAAGAAGCATTATTTACCAGTGAGCCCAGCTCCAGCAACACCAAACAGAGATCCTATTATTGCTACCCCAGCAGTTGAACCAATGGCAGCAGCAGTGGCTCCTCCCAACACAGAACCCACTCCAGCTCCAATGAGAGGTGCGGCCAGTCCACCTGTCAGGCCAAGGACTGCTCCTCCACCTAATGTTGCCAATCCAATAAGAGCATAACGTTTGTAACGTTTTTTACGTTGACGTCGAGCCATTTCTTCTTGTTGCTCCCTGGAAGTTAAAAGAAAAGAAAAATGATGAGCAATATTTTTTTTTAATTTCTCCTTTCTATATACAAATACTAACACATCTTACTCAGATAGGGAAACTGCTTCATCAGTTAGACTTTCAACAAGAGATTCTTCAAAAGCATCAACAACACTTTGTGGAACAAGAAGCAGCCATGCCACATGACGCACCAGGACTCTGGTCCGTGCGTCATATTTACCTGAAATTTTTTTTTTTTTTTTGTTACACCAGAGGAAATCTAATCTAATACACTTTATGAGTACATGCAAACATGAGAAATCAACTTAAAAAAGTTAAATAATTCATTACTGAAAAAAGTACCTGTTGTCAATCCTGAAAAGCATGAAGGAAAAAGAAGAACGTTAATTTAATATCTTGCATATAAATTAAATAAGAGCATTTCTCTGATATCAATAGTGCAAAAAAGTGGAGTTATAACTGAAGAGTAAATTCTGAGCAAAAATAGCTGGCTTTGCCAGATCAAAGATAGGAATAAATGACTAATCTCTATTTATGTCATTGGATACAAAACTAACAAAAACAACAACAAACAAACAAACCCTTCGTCCACAATGTTGTTTTTACTTCCCGAAAAATGCTTTTTTATTTTGTTGAGAGTAAGAAAATGAAAATGGTGACCCTAATTGTTTTGTCGCTACTCTCCGGTGGTTAGGTACGTGGTGCACCTAGGATTGCAAACATGAGAAATCAACTTAAGCCAGAAATAAGCTTAAGCCAGAAATAAATGTCCTCTATGTTGAGAAATAAAAATATGATGTCTGTTCTCTAATCTTTGAAGGCTTAACTTTTCATCACACCTTATTAATAGTCTACTCTTTGCTACATTATGAATATTGGCTGAAATGCGCTCATTCACCACAGGTACTTGGATACAGGAACTCGACAATGGGGAAAAGCAGGCTGAATACAAACTGCCATTGGAGTTTAGTTTTGGGGACTCCCAACATAATCAGAACCATTAATAAAACCTTGTCAATATGTAGGGCATTATCATTATCCCAAATATTGCAACTAGTAGTGCTAAACAGCACATACTTTCTCGCCTCTGGTAATAATACTATTTTTATCACAATTTCTCTCTGAAATAACAAATATGTCATAATATTTAGTAAAACTTATTACAAATCCTACAACTGATAATATTAAATATTTTCAAGCAAATATCAACACCAATTTGACTATTATATCTGCTTTTCATACAGCTACATCGTATTCCAACAATGAGACGTAATTGACAGAAATTCTACTGCCAATTCGGAATGTTAGTGTTGCATTCCAATCTGATATTTCCTGAAGGCTAGCAATTTTTATTTCACATAAGTTTTAAATAATTTCTAAAATATTAATGTACAAATGTATAACAAAAAGTCAAATGTAAGAAGAAAAGCATACGAAATAATAAACAAATTCTAACTTCGAACTGCCTGGAATTACGTTATAAAGCGCAGTCAATTTGGAGCAGGCAATTGTTTGTCACCAAATTACACAAAAAATACTATTGTTTCCAAAAAATTCAACACGACCTTATTTTAAGAACTGTTTTTGATAAACATTTTGCATTAAGAAAAAAATGTATCTTCACAATTGTACCAGGCGAATTCCGAAACAATGGCCTGAAATACGGACCGCGCGCGATCTTTTCTTCCTCTTCCTTGCTGTCTGACTTACGAGGCTCTGACAATGGGACGAGATTGAAAATCTCGTGCAGTTCGTGGCCCCTTATGTAGTACGCTGCTTAGCATTCGCCTGGAAATTATCAGGGAAACCGCAGAACAGAACAGCCGGCCTACGAATTCGATCTCGGTAGGCGCCATAGGCTTGCCGATGCGGTATTGGAGTAACAGCCAACAATGATTAATTGCTCACAAGAATCGCCGTAGAACCTCATGTGGAATTTGTTACGATAAAAATTTGCATGCTTCACAGGGAGGCTAGTCCAACTCCCGTGAAGCGTCCTAAACCCTACACCTACCCTTATTCCTTCCCAATCCTGGCCGCTGGGTAGCGATGCAAAAGCACGTAAGAGAGGCACGTACGCGGAGAAGCTATCTGGCGGTCCTCTTGACAACTGACTGAGACGAGACGTGACGGACTATGTTAATTAATGGAGGATTACTCTCGCGCAACAATGTAAGGAGAATTACTCCAAAAAGGCGCGAAGCGCTCAACGCCCCCACCCCCAAGGGGCTCGGAGACACGATGCGTGTAGTTGCCGCAACATATAAAAAGAAAAAAGATAGCTCTTCGAGAAGGGTTAGTAAGTATCCTTAGTTTAGTCAAGACAATCAACATTTTTTTTCAAGAGAAATTATTTTATTAGATTTATTTATGTTGATTGTCTTTATGAACTATCCAACCCATCGTACCGAAATTACATTTCTGGCTCCCAGCTGCGGTTCACAATCACTGATACCGTCAAAGATGGCTTAGAGCGTCAATTAATATCACTGCAGTGCCTAGGGTTCGACAAGGCCGGCAATTGGTGTTAAGTGCAAGTGGATAGTTGACCCGGATGGGGGTCCCCTCTCCATCCTCCCATTGAAAATGTGTACGAAGGGAAACATTCAATCATTGAATTCAACATTTGAAATTCAACAATTGAATTCATCATTCAACTGTTACCACATTTATTTTAATTAACTTCAGCGGTTCATTTTTGCAATGCTTAAACTCATTTTTATAGAAACTCGTTTAACAATTTCTGCAAATCGATGTTGTCATTCATGTCGCTATTAACATGTAAAAGCGCAATTCTCTTGTGCCGATCTTGCAAAATACAGTGAAACCTCTCTTCACGACCACTCCTTCAACACAACTACCCTAACCACTTTTTACGGGACGGAATGTTTTTCCCATATGCTTTGAAATCCCTTTTATGCCGACCACCTCTGATCCCGACCAACGATCATCAATGCATCTACAAAATCACACTTTTCCCTCTTTAAGGCGACCATTTTTATCAAAGTTTCGCTAAATTATTTCAATGTCTAGTATCGTTTTCTGCTAGCTACAATTTGCGGCCATGATAGCAACCGGCGATGATCCACGTGGTTTCTCACGCAGTAAGGGACACCGCCGCAGTCGTTAGCCCCTTTGAGTGTGCTCTTCTTAGAATGGCATTGAAAGCAGGTTCGGCGATTTATCCTTCAGTTAACAATACAATCTCCCGCTAAATGTGATTTCGCTGCGTAGTGTTGCAGCTGATTTTGTAGGGATTGATATATGAATGTCTGTTTTTGCTAGAATTTTCACTTCATCCTAGGAAATGACAAATATCAATTGCAAAAAGAAACACAATCCTTTCTCTCGAGACTCATCAGTAATAAGGGAAGGTCGCATCGGTAGTTAACTAAACTGTTTAATTCTGGTAAAATGCAGATAGAGTCAATTGTTGCTAATTGAGAATGGTTCTTAAAGTATTAGGAAGAAAACGTTAATAAGTACTCTTCGAAGAGGTGTTGGCAGACTTACGAAAGCATAAAGTGTTCTGTTAAGGCCCATTTACAATGCAAACATAAATATAAGCAAGACGTTAACATAAAACTCAGGACTATGTCCATAAGCGGACACATTCACAATGCGTTCGCATAAGCATAAACACGGCTCCCGTATGCATTCGCCGAATCCCGAGTAGTGTGGACGGGTTGCTTGCGATTCGCCGGGCGCCGAACATTCGGCATTCACCGAACACCGCGTGTCGGTCTTTAAGACACATCAAAGTGCTCTCGTGGCTCAGTGACGAAATCGCTTGCCCTTCACTACTGAGGTTTCGATTGAGGGTTCGATTCGCGTAGAATCCCTGTAGAACCTCAAGTGAAATGTGGTACGACAAAACATGTTGCATGCTTTACAGATGCTAGAGGCCACAGAACCTGTGGTGTCCTAAACCCTACCCCATTCTAATTCCTTCCCAATTTTGGCCGCTGAATAGTGACGCAGGGGCGCGTAGTAGATGATGCTACTTGGCGGTCCTTTTCACAACTGACTGCGATGAGACGTGACGACGTGCTCGGCGAATGCCGAATGTGTGGAGCCGCCTTAACACGTAAGACGTTAACTTAAAACCGTGCAAGCTTCAAGCTCCTATGCTTATGCTTAAGTAAGACACAAGAAATGAACCAACGTTACGTACTCAAACGTACGTTAACTCAAAATCGGGAATCGAAATATGAGCGAAGTCGATAGACGAACTAGCGCCATATGGGCTATGGTCACAGTCGATTCCTCGAAATCGATTCTCACATCCAACCAATAGTAAATTAGAATGTCTCACAGCCAATAGAAACTCTTATTTTGCTTAAGCTTATGTTAGAGATTGTGAATATTTCAGTACATCACTTAAGTTAATGTTCTATGCGTTATGCTTATGTTTGAATTGTGAATGGGCCTTTAGAATGGTTCAATCGCATTTGTTCAAAGGGTCTCCCTATAAGTGAGACGATGATACAAGAAAAAAGCTCATCTAATCGCAAGACCTTGGGGTCAAAAACTTTAGTGCTAGTGGATGTTTGGGCAGATTTCGTGTTCGCCACAACACTGTTTTTTGAAGTGTTAGTGGCGAAAGTGGTGAAGTTAATGTAAATATGGCCAATGATAGGAAATCGCGAATTGCCGGTCACCAAAGGATACGTGCTATGTGACATCCGCAACAGGGATGGAACGGGCCTTCCATTTTAAGCAATACCGGACAGAACGCTTGCAGTGAAAAGAGACAAAATGCAAGGGGATACGTTAGCAAAGCAAAGCTTAACAATTGTGTTGTGCGCCAATATGTGTGAGGAAAAAGAGCAACATATTGTTATCCACACATTACGTCCACGATGCTTCAAGAACGACGACACTACGTCGAGAAACATTCTGGTACGCGAACAAAAAAAGCATGGATATCACGCGAAGTTTTTCCTTCATGGCTGCACAAACTGAACAGGAAAACGTAACATGGAAACAGGAAGATTCTACTATTATTATTGTGTCAGAACGTGTGAAGAAATTCAAACAGACAACAATCTCAGAATTGATGCTCCAGACAAATAATGTAAGAGTGTGGTATGTACAATAGTTTTTGTTTACTAATACATTGAATATTTAGTTTAGTTATTAATAAACTAATAAATACATAAATCTGTATGTATGTATGTTACGTCAATACCCAGAATGCAGACTTAATAAATGAAACCCCTTAAGGCGACCACCTCAGGTGCAAATTTAATTGACCGTCTTAAAAGGGGTTCACTGTACATATACCTTTTGAGTCGACTCAATACCGAGAAACTTCGTTAATTTCTGGAATTTGACGTATATGGAATACTAGGTGAACCTGGCAAACGTTGTTCTGCCCTTCATCTCCCTCTTTCTCCTTCCATCTCCCTTTCTCTCTCCGTCTCTGTCCCTGTCTGTCTGGCTCTGTGTGTGGATGGGTCTCTCTCTCCCTCTCTCTCTCTTTCTCTCTCTCCCTCTCTCTCTCTGATGCTCACTGTCCCTCTCATACACATTTCGTTGCAGATTCTGCGTCTCTGAGAAGGCCGAAGGCCTCAATATTTTACTTTTTAATAATTAGTTAACAACGTTTCGTTTAGGAGTTGAATTAACGAATTTGCTGAGTGTTCGGATTGGACTCTGATGTGAATATTTATTGTGTGTGTATATATATATATATATATATAAAATCGTATCTCCGTGATTTTTTCGATATTTTAATAGTTATTCTATCGCGCGACGGAGTTAAACCGACAAGTCGGTGGTAATTAAAATTGGTCCAGCAGTTCTTGAGATATAAATGGTGTGACAATCCCGACTTTGTTTTATTTATTTAGTTTTCTCTCACCCTAAATTCGTTCTTTCTGGAATTTGACTTCTATGGAATATTTCTCTCGCCGCAAATTCTGAGTGAGTATTTTATCCACTTGGATTTTTTCGGGTGGGTATTGCTACCCACCATACTCACATTATTCACCATGATAGGAGTTTGAGTCCCGACAGTAGCAGATTTTGGACACTAGCTCGTCAGTGGAGTTCAGCCGCTGTCTGGAGGAGAATTCTAGCGGATGGCTGGGTCTGATCGATAGTTTTCCGAGGTTTCTCTAATCACCAACAGGCGAATGACGGAACAGTATCTTAACAAACTGGACTCGGACCGCGCACGATCTTTCCTTCCTCTTCCTTGTCTACCCTCACCCCTTACACTACTCTACCACACGTGTCGGGAGCTTAAAGCTCGTCCTGGCTGGAGTGGAGCCCCGCTGGTGAGAGATACATAGATGGAGAATATCCGACGTAGGTCAGCGCCGGATCTCGCCATTCAGCAGGGGAAGTACACCGCTAACTCCCGCGAGAAAGCATGCACTACTCTTACGGGAATAGATACCTTAGAAGGGCCCGAAATCAATCAATCGAATCACTATGCTGGTTCGCTCGCGCTGCCGCAAGGATTTGCTTTGGCACTCGCCGTTCCGGGACGGAGTACTAATTTTCTAACACCTTTCAATCTCACTTTCAATTTAAGGTCAATCACAATTAAATAAATTCAATATAAATAATAATTATATAAACAATTAAATCCAAATCCAATCATTGAACAAAATTATGAAATAAATTTGAATTATTTAATTGTGTTTATCCTAAATGACAAAAAGGGACTGAAAAATATAAGAAAATATAAATTATAATAGTGACAACTAATCAACATTTGTATCTTATTGGGTTCTAATTTTGTTCAAATGTTTGGTCCCAAGTTCTCCGTTGAATGACCACGTTCATTCAGCAAGACGTTCCCTTCTTCCTTTTCTTTCTCGTGCCAAATGTTTAAACAACGTTGCTTTTGGTGCGGATATCTTTGTCTTTAATTTCTTCCACGCCTGCGTTAAATGACACGTGCTCTGTTTCAATCCCGAGGGGGACTTTGATTGACCAAATGAAATCCGCCCTTGCCGCGCGGTCGGCTCTTATACCCGCGCACCTTTTCGTGGCGTCCTCCTTCTATCTCGACGGCGTCATCGTCCAGTTCCGGCGGTTCTCGAATTTCTCCTGAAATATCCCCATGTATGATTTTGTTCAGCAGAGCTTCGGCCTGTATTGCCTACATTGTCCTGATTATCACTTTATAACATTTCGCCAAGTCGTGTTGCGTGTGTTCGTCACCATTTTCCTGTTAGACATGTCCACTTTTACATCTTTTTGACAATTTTTCAATTGCCTTTTATTTTTCCGAAATCTTATTCTCGTAAATCGCATAACTTTTTATACCAACTAACTAGATTATAAGACTAAGGGCCTTACTTCCGACAATTTTTATGATAGGTGCAATGGCGGAACGTTCAGGCACGCAAGGCCTGCAATGCGAACAAGCCCAGATGAAAGAGGGCTTACTTGTAGCTGAAGGTTTTGCGATTGTGAGATATATTATTACTTGGTGCTTTCTCTGATACAGGTTTTGCGATAGTCGATACAATAAAAGATTGAAAACAGCATCTTCCAGAACAATTTTTTTCCGCTTCGGTAGCTAATGTAACCCTGTTTCTAAATCAGTCAAGGGAGGTTTTATAACATTAATCTTAACATTAATTTTAACTTAATTTAATCTTAATTTCATAAAATTAAACAATATAGATGTTTCCACTATTGGTTATTGATCATAAACTGATTAATTCGAATTTGAAAAAAAAATGATTTTTTTATTATTTAAGGTACTAACACTATTTGTGTGCTAACACATCTATAAAGAGGGTCCGGATAAAAGTTTAGCGGGCGGGCCCGCACTCATTTCTTTACGCTACTGGATACGTAACACAAAAATTGTGTTTGATTGATGAACGTTTAACACAGTAAAAATAATAGCGTCGAAGCTCTATTTGTAAATGTAACAATGGAATGATATTAAATGCAAAGACCAACACTTGGCGGTTGGCAGACGCCCTTCAGAAGCTGAACTCGGGAGCAGGTTGACCTGTGGCGCGAGCGCGTTGCCGCACAATTAAACATCGCGGGTGCGGGAGTGGGCTCTCGTTATAACGATTATTGTTGTTTATTTCAACGATTGTTATGATTATTATGAACATTGCTATAAGTACAAACATTTAATTTTTTCAGTGGTCTGTTAATCTTAAATAGAATGTATTAATAGCAAGTAATATTTGTTTCTCGTTACAAGGAACTATTTACGTTTACCAGAATACCCAATGAATCATTCCTTTCTTTTCCAACTCAATATCATTTTTAAAGGCTAGGATGAAGAAAACCTGTTGTATCTCATGACTGTTTTAGTTTATCTTTACATTCAGAATTTATTATTGATAAAAGTAAGGGGTAATCTTAAGCTGATAAGACAGCAAACTCTATTTACTTCCCTGAAGTTAGAACAAGGAAGTTTCAAGGCCATTTACAATTACATGTTATCAGCTGATATCCTTTAATAATTTCTATTCTAAGGAAGAAAACATATTTCATTACAACCTATTGGTTTTGTACATACAACCTGCAAGTAAACATCTCACCTTCTTTGACTGCAAGAATAACAAGATCTTCAACAATGTAAATGGCATTTCCATTTAAAGCTTGCTCCTGAAGAAGGAGGTCAATGTAAGCATCAGGGGTCTGTTGGGCATGACCGTCAACCAAAGTCATCATAACTCCTTCCACCTGCAAAAGGTTTCTTCACAGTGAACCTACCAACCTATTTTTATTCAATCACAAATTCCATAAGTCTTCCTTAACTACTAATGCTAAAAACAAATACATTATCCATTTTCCATTTTACAAATCATGCGTGACAAATCAGGCATAATTTCATCAAATCATACCAAAACATGCTCTACCACATTACTCATCACACAACACTAAACAGAAATACACTAACGCTAAATTCAAAACTTTATGTACACAAATATGGTTTGGTACATTATTTCTCAATATGGCACACCTGTTTAGGAAGTTTCAAGTGATCAAGAATTTGCTTGATGCATTTGTGGCAAAATGAGCGATCCCACTCATTATCAAAAAGTTCATGCAGAGATAAGGCACAGATGGCGGCATAGGAATAAATTCCTGCATCAGAGATTTGTGAGGTGATTTCATGTGCATTGCGGTCTGAAATTTTCAAACAAAACGAGTTACAAATCATGCTTACAATTAACTGAGTGAATGCAGAAGCTGAATGTGATTCACATGCAATTATTTTACTGAGAACTGAAATTTCACATATTCATAATTAATTAACGTACTCTTGGTCAAAGCATTTAAAGCATTTTCAATTTCTTCTTTTTTCCTTTCATCATGGTTACCACTAGTCAATGATTCCATTACAAAATCCAATCAGTAGAAATCTGCAAAATGTAGAGCAGTTGTAACAAAAATATTAATAAACTAAAAAAGTTCTGTGATAAAATAAATTAAAAAAGTTTATTTATTTAAAGTATTTCCAATTATTTTCTAAAAAATGAAGAAATTCTCCTAAATGCTGAATTTATTATTAATGAATGCATTATATGTTGTCATTAAAAGAACCTTGAAAGTTTAATTTTTCCTAATACGTTTCTCTACCTTCAAGGATACCTGATTAAATCCAAGATATTAAACTATTAAATATATTTAAAAAATCCTATCATTAACTTTAATTAAGGGCATACCGTTTACGGCAAGGAGCGGTCAAATTCACTTGCCGCAATGTCTTATATTTAACACAAATATATCTTACCTTCCAAGACCATGAAACGCTCGCAGAACTCGTCTTTGAAGGGGCTTTCGACTTGCAGGCGTGTGCGGATGATTAACATTATCTGATTCATTCCTTCTACGCGAATTTTCACTTACGTTCAATTTCCTGTTGTTGTATTTCTTCATTTAAAGCATGTCAATAACATTATATTTATCATCTTGGAGAACAATATTGACAAGTGGTGGTGGTGACGTTCTACACAACTGTCATTTTGGAAAGTTGTCTGCATTGATTTGGTGATATTTTGCAATAGGTTGGTAACATGCATTGAAAAATTTCCTCAGTGTGCGTGTGGTGTGTGAGGACTGTGGTGAAAGGGAAGGAGTCCGCAGGAGTCCGTGGGCCATATCGATAGTGTTGAATGTGTATTTGTAAACTGTCTTGAGTTGAGGCCAGGGCCAGATGATCAGAACACAATTGAAAGCCCCTCGCCCGTGTGTTGCTTTTGGGAAAAATCTCTTCAAAGCCACCAGTTTGTTCATTATTTGTTAGTCATGATATAACAGTGGAATCAAGTAGTGCAAAATTCATCGAACATGAACCTTCAGACTTTGTTTCAGGATTTCAATCCTAGGTTTGTGAAATATGCGTGATTAATAGAATATTGCGACGTTGTGCTGAAGTGTTTTTTTAATGCAAAAAACATATTTATGTTTCAGTAAGTTCCTAGTTCACGTGTGTTTAATGGTATTCACTGCATTATTTGCACTACAGTTGGATGGTACTGTACAATGGAGTTATTGGACTGTTTTCATCCCCATTTGGTTTTGGAAATTCATGGTTATAACAGGTGCTACTGTGGGGAGTTATGTGTGGTGGCGATATCCTCATTTTAGGTAAGTTGCTTAACCCAGAAAACATAGAATAAAAAATATTGGAATATAGAAATGGAAGTTGATAATAAAGATTAGTCAATATTTTTCATTGAACATATTTGTAATGAAAAAGGTTACCAAAGTTTATTTTCTTTGGCTAGGCTTGAAGGAGAGGCCTATGTCCACTACAAAGCAATGCTCATTAGTCTTGCCTTGCATCTTATTTTGTTGATGTTTGAGTTGCTTGTCTGTGACAAACTGGAATCTGGGAGGCATTTATGGATTCTTGTATTTATACCTCTTATATTCATTTCTATTGTCTCGATTGCTGTGTGCATTTGGGCTGTTAAACATGATCGTTCTTTTGAGGTGAGTATAAAATATGTAGAAATTAACTGCATTGTCATTTTTCTGACTTTGAGTGCTAATGTAGTATTCAGTAGTTAATTTTGTTTTTGTCGAAATTACAAAAAATCAGTATCTTTTGTATTAATTATTTATGAATTTGAATGTCTTTGTAGCTGGAGCTCTTTTGTTCTGTGAACATACTCCAATTTATATTTCTGGCTTTACGACTTGATGGATTCATTTTGTGGAGTTGGGAAGTTGTGTTTGTTCCTCTGTGGATCTTAATGTGCTTATCGTTAGTGGGTGTTTTGTACACTATAATTTTTGCGGGTATCTTGTTACGTGCCCCTGAAGTAAACCCGCAGCAGCGACGAACTTCTTTCAATTCAGCCTTGGGATACACGTTCCTGGTGATTCCCATTCTCATATTTCAGGTATGTGTGGTAGTCATTCAAGCAATTCTATTAGGAAAACATTTGAACTTATGAAAAAGTGTTGTTAGTTGTGATGCATGGCATATCATATGGTTTTCTTTTTTAAGGTTCTTCTGGCTAATAAATTAGATGAAGATATTCAGCTGAGTTACATCAGTGTTGTATCTCCATTATTTTTTTCATACATCACACTAATCCTGATGTCTTTTGGTGCAAAAGGAGGAAATAGATGTAAGTGGATATATTTAGTAGTAGTATATGTAATGAGAACTTTAATATTTGAAGATTTATGGAAGTATTTATTATTGAGATATTTATGTGAAAGTTTAGACTTTTAAATTAGAATATTGAGGTTTTGTAAAATCCGAGTCTAGTTATTACAATGTAATTTGATAATACTAAGGTGTATAGAATGCTTAACATTAAACAAAATAAATTAGAAGTTTCAAATTTTGCTGTTGTCTGACTACTCTGACCTTAGAAATTTGTGCTTGGAAAATTAACCACCATTCTTACAGTTAATTACATTTCAAGTTCTGTCTAGACTAGATCTAATGAAGAAGAAGTTACTTGCAACTTCCACAGTGAGAATGTCTTTATTTTTATTCTGTTTTAAATGGTATGGCAAGATTAACAAACAACTAATATAGAATTATCACTTTTTAAATATCCATTTATTCTCCGGTCTAAAGAAATATTGTTGAAAGATTTAAATTTGAATAATATAAAACTGCAACTCTTTCTGCTTCACTGTAATGATTTTATTGTATAGGGTAATTACCTATTTTCATAAATTATTAAATAATATAATTAATTGTTAATTAACATCAGAATTAGTTGGCAACGTAGTCAGCACATATCAATATGATTAGGAACAATGTTTAAATGAAGTAAGTGCCCATAGGTGAGATTATTTCTGACAAGTCATGGATACACTGTCTTTGATGACACACGAGCCAGAATTGACTGCATCAATTTAATTGGATTTTAGAATTAACTGTAGGTTATTTTGAATATTTTCTTCTATCTATAAGTAAGCTAACAGATTCGATTAATCACTAACCATTAATACGAGTTATTTATTCTCTCCTTTATAGTACATTGTTTCAAATTGTTTTTCCTCTGCATCAATGTATCTCTAAAGATTGTTAAGACCCTTAAGCATGTTCTTCAAACAGCTTTGTATTCGAATCAGTGTTCTGAAAAGGATTATCAATGGCTGTTCCTCGATTGTGGTTGGATTTGAAGAATATACCATATCTTTAATTAATCCCCAAAATCCATGGGAGTGAGATCTGTTGATCTGGGAGGAATTTTATTGTCCCTTGTCTTCCAAGTGTTCATTCCACTTATCAGTTATTAACACATACCCACTTTTGTACCATCTTTGAATACAAAAAATCTTTCTTCTTTGGACAACATCAACAACATGGACACATAACGTATGTAAGAAATTATATTAAACTTTATTATTAGCATTTTTTGTACCAGTCTTCATCTATTAGCTCTCCGTCCCTTATAGTTTATCCTTGACTTCTTTTATTATACAGCCCAATTTCTTCTATCTTTATCCAGCTATTATTTTTAAGTTTCTGAGCAGCGATCTTAGGATATTATGGGTTGTTAGCCTGATGATTAATCCTCAACCTGGGGCACCAGGGTTTGTGTAAGGTTTACTCAGGTAGAGAAATTGGCTTCACAACACCTTCCAGTGCTCTCTCTACCCATTGTTTTCTATCACGGTTTTCCTTCCTTAGTCTTTGCTCTAATCCCTACCCGCAAGGCAGCGGGGGCAGCACTTATTTAATGGCGGTGCTTACTTGCCATGTTGCAAGGTAATTTGCATGGCTTCTAATGAATGTGATTTCGCCACAGATCACACTCCCATGCTCTTCTCTCCTAGCCACATCAATCCAGGACGACTTCAGAGATATTGCCTTCGTTGTCCTGATTCTCTATAACTACAGACAAATTGCTATACACGAACTGTGATCTGCCTTCTAGCCGAGGCTTCTGTGCACCAGTAGGAAGTCAAAATTGCTTATTTTAGAGATGGTATTGCTATAACATTTGTTTAGTAAAGAGTAGGGATTGGATTTTTATGAGGTAATTACCAAACTATGAAATTAATAAATAAATAAATAATAAATTAATAAACATGCAAAAATATATGATTAAGATAAGGGAAATAATGAAAAAAATCTGCCCTAATGTACTGAAATACCTTCTAAAAAATAGAAATTACTCTTGGATTTAATGTTGTTATAAGATGTTGCCAAACAAATTTACTAAAATGTATACTTACCAAAATAAGTTAAATAATAAAATAACAGAAAAGGGGATTTTGGCAACTTTTATTAGTTGTATTGAATACTTTTCAAGATTTTCTTCATTAAATTTGTGACGGTGATTTGTGAGATGGTGTTTGTAACAAATATTAACATTCCATATCCACACTAGTGATGAGTGCAAATTTAAAGGTGCTCAAAATGATGTTTGAACAATATGACTTGAGCGGGCTTCTGTAACTGTTAAACAGGAAGAAGGGCTATGATTAAATTCTTCATACAGTTACTCAATTCTGTGATTATCTTAGCCACATAATTGTTCCTCTGCAATACAATATAGCATAAAGGAAGGGCATAAAAGAAGGAAAAGAAATTAATTCAAGAGAACTCATAATCTGAGTACCTTGATATTCTTCATTTACAGATTTAATAGAAAAACGATCCAAAAGGGATAAATAATATTATCCTTGAAATTTGCAATTTTATGTATTAATTGTAAAATATGCAACATAATGTTGCCAAACCCTGAAATATGCAAAATAAAACTGAAATAAGCTCTTATAAGAACATTAATTTGGATAGAAAACCAAACTACTAGCTTCTAAGACTAAACAGAAGAAAACTACCATTGCATAAAATTCCGCTCCTTAGTAAAGAACTTAAGTGTAATGGCAAGTTGTTGATAGTTGTATGATTGTCACTGTTCTGCCAAGCCATAAAACTACAGATAAGTGGTTAGTGAATAAACCAATTGCTGTATCGATTAGATTATTGAGAATGAATATATCTGAACAAGTGAGAGTTGTGTTGAATTTGCACTTTTGAAATCAAATAAATTAGGTTTTATTTGTTCATACGCCCAAAAGCTGATAGTCTGTTGGAATAATTTATGATTAATATTAATATGTAGGTATGAAAAACGTGAAATATGTTATAAGAGTGAGCTTAGTGCTTGATGTGTGATTATTTTTGTTTTGATTTCAAATTTGTCTTAATGGCTCAATGTATACTTGTATTGACATTCTCTAGAATTTGATCATAATTAGTTAATATAACTCTGTTACTTGATTTGTTATTAAAAAAAATGTAATATGGTCCTTTTCTTATAAAAGGAAGAATTTCATTTTGCTGTAATCTGGCAATGTTTGGAAAATGTAATCCTGTAAGTTTTTTGTGGCATATTGCTATTGCAAAGTTACATGATGTGTTTTATTGCAGGGTGGTTTGGTATTCGAAAAGACTTCTGCCACTTCTTGCTTGGCCTGTGCCCTTTCCTCCAGGAGTACGCCAACATCGCTTACAGTCTTCAAGCTGAGGAGACGTTTCAAGCTCATTCAGGGCAGCAAGGGGCGAGTGATACAGTGATAGATACAAAACCTGAAAAGAGAATAAAAAAGACTGAATTAATGAAGCCTGTTGTGCCCATTATTTCCATAGACATGCCGGATTGAAAGATCATGTGCATTCGTTATGTGGTCAACTAAGACTTCCCTGAATGAGGGCCTCAATGAAGATATGTCCACTGTGTTACTAGTGACGTGTTGATAGTTCACATATGTTCATCTAACTTGAGCATGTCATAAATTTACATTTGATAAAAATATATTTTTATGAAAAGTAAATTGATCAAATGGAGACTTTTGCCTGTTTCCAAATTCCTCTTAAGTATTGATGCAAATATTTGTTAACTGTTTGCAATAATTGTTTACTGTCTGTCCATTCTTTAGATACACTTCATTACAGAGAAATGCCCTCTTCAGTGCTGTTTCAACCTATTGATACCCAAAATATTTCATGGTTCAGATTTGATTCCTATTGATATTTTTATCTGTGAATGAAGGAAGGAGAAAGGAAAACGAAGAATTACTATGAAATTGTTTCTTGGGGAAAAAAATGTTGTAAAAAGCAGTACTAATGTTAGAGGGAACTAAAGCAACTCAGGGACTTCCAGATTGTTCTTATTCATTATTTTTGTAATCCTAATTTTGTTTTAACTTGAACAATGCACGATTGTTATTGAACATAAAGACAAACTGAATTAAGAGAATTAATTCACTATAAATGAACTTCTTTTGTATTTTCTGGATGCTTACTTTTCTCATGAAAATACCGAAAGAGATAGAAATCATTCACAATATAAACCATTTTGATACCCCAATTTCAGGGGGGAAACTTTTGATTCTGACATGAATGAAAATTATCTCGGTGCAAGTGAGTTTTTCTAAACATTTTCAAACCATTTATACTTTATTACCTTTATATCTTGTTATTATTTTAGGTGCCTTAAACATATTTTGTTTGTTCAAGAATTCCAATTAAGTTCTCTGTTCTTGCAGGAACATAAATCAAATTTGGCAGCCCTATAGATTTTTTAAATAGTAAACTATAGTAATGAAATTTATGCTTATAGATGTTGTAAAGTAATTTTTAAATAAGTGCCTAAAAATTGCACTATATTTAAAATTGCTAATAAAAAACTATAAGCAAAACATTTTTTATTATGTCTACTTTTTAGACTATTATGTGCTCTGTAAAGCTGTCAGATTTGTTTAATCAACTTCCAATTGGGTCTTAGAATAAAACATTTATTCTTAAATGTATACAGACCTGAGGAGTAGGATACTTGGGAAACTTGGGCTTGTCCCATATCCTGGTCATTTTTGTTATTATTAAAATTTGTAATAGAATTACTAAGTTCACAATTTTGAAAATTATCAGTTTATAATTTCATCCTTCTTTAAGTGCTTATATATCTTATTATTATTTAATGAAAAGGGAAGTGAAAATACATTTTCATTTCTTTAATTTTGCAGAAATATAATGATGGAAAAGAAAAAAGAAAAACAACACAGAACAGCAAATTTACTAATATTACTAAATAAAGGACAACAATACCAACAAACTTTCTGGTATTATATTAATGTTGTCATTTATTGTTGTTCATTGTTTAGTCTTTGGGGTCATATAAAATATAATAATAGAATTTTGTAAAACACAAAACACCCAAATCAATTCCATGAAGAAGAAGAAATGTAAAAATTTGCAACAAGTGGCTGCACTTTCTTGCCCTGGTTTTACCACCAATTAGCAACTTTACAAAGAATAATTAAAGGGGCCTGCAAACATATGAGAGACATTTAAATGTTCACCAAGTTGTATGTGGGAGAACCTATAACATGCCAGGACACTCCAAAATGTCCACAAACCAAATGTGTTGAATGACTTGTCACAAGCAACTAAAATAAAATCAAAAAATACATGGAAGATATTAATGTGTATACGGTTTTTAAATCTTCAGAACTTTTTTCTCAGATTTACCCCTGAATCAAAGTTTTTTAGGAAGTAGGGTATTAAAATCCTTAATTTTACTATGATTTGTGCTATATTCACATTCATGTACCCTGAATTAAAACAAAACAAAACTTTATAATGAAATATAAAACTGCTTAGGTGAATTATAAGTACTTCCATGGATTTTTTTTTCCTTGCTGTGAAAGTTGTGTGCCCATGATGTATTCATTATGGGGAACCAGTTGTCATGTAGTACCTCTCCTTATGATAGTTGTTGCTGTTGTGTGGTGGTGTGTGTGTGTTTGAAAAAATGCTGGGTAAAAATGATCATCTTGTATTTGGGTAAATGTGGTATATACATTTTGCCAATGTTTTATTCGCCATAGTGTGACTTCCCTAGGAGGAAATGCGAAAAAGATTGCCATATGACTGAAATGTTGGCAACTCTACCTGGGTCACAGTCTCTCCTGGTGAGTCAGGTATCTATTGACTCCAGCTGCAGAAGGGTCATGTTTTAGTCTTTCTGTGATTTTTAATTTGAATGGATACCATTATAATATTAATGTCAAGCCTTAGATTTCCATTTTATGAAGTTGCAATTAATTTAGTGTGCTTTTTATCTAAATTATAAAAGTATAATTTCTCTTCATCAGTTCATTCTAAAATATTTCATTTATAAGAAACATGCTTTTTGTACCACAAAATATGTCGTCTTTTCACTTCTCCACCACCTCTCCAACACACACTCCACAAAGAAATGGTTATGTTTTTATCAGATTTTTATTCTCTGTGACCCACCAAAGATGGATTCTGTTGACATGTTTTGGGAAGTAATTTACTATGTACAGGAACAAGATTTATCCTTTTTTTCTTTTCAAGACCAACCATCAAGATTCATGTCTATTATTAATTTTTTACATTTGACACTGTACACGTAAATTGCTCACATGTCTTTGTTTTTACTTTACCTATTCCATTCCCTGTATTATAATAATAATAATAATTAATTTCGGTTTTTTGATAGTACAAGTACCATTTTAGACCATGTCATGAATTGAGTTTAACAAACTATTGACTAATACAAATATTAACATAAACACTTTTTCTTGTAAAATATGATGATTACTATGTTACAAAATGTTTAAAACTATACTACTAGTATACAAATATTTACATCGAATAAAAAAAAATACATACATTGTCACATACAATACAATTAATATACAATTTAATACATACAATTTTGTAATATGTAATACAAAGTTTAATATTTTTTATCTACCCATACACTTGCACATTTTGATTCAGTATGGTACATTTCATTATTTTTATTAATTCTGTGCAATTCACAATATTCTACATGTCAGATAATGTTTTTTATGACTTGTCTAAAGTATATAATGCTTTGTTTATTAATTATTTCTTTAGTCATTTTCTGAATTTGTTATTGCTTAGATTTTTATTTCATTTGGCAATTTTTTGAAAAAATTTACTCGTGAAACATAAGGATTTATGTTAGTTCTTTTGAGTCGTGTGCTCACAATGTGTTTATTGTCCTTATTTCTGGTATTATAGTTATGATATCTTTATTTTTTAGCATGTTTCCATTGGACATCATTAAAAGTATGGTATTGTATATGTATAGTCCATGTACAGTTAGGAAAATCCCTTCTTGAAATTTATCTGTGCAGGTTTCTGTTCTTTTTGTGTTATATATTGTTCTAATTGTTTGCTTCTGCAAATACCCCACATATTAATTTCATACACAATATGAGGATATATTATTATATAATAAATTGCTCTTAGTTCCCTTTCTCCTAGTATTTTACTAAATTTTCGTAATACAAAAATTCCTGAGTTCAGTTTATTACTGTTACTATTTATTACTCGGTTCACTCTGTCAATGTGACCCTCCCAGAATAAGGTAGTGCCCATCTCTACTCCCAATCATTTGCTCATCTGTACATTTGGTATAGGTTCATTTTGTATATTGTAATGGATTCTTTGTCTCAAGGATTGTGTGTGAACATTACTATGTTTGTTTTGTTAACAATAACATTTAAACAAATGTCATTGTATGATTGAACAGTTTCTAATAAGCATCTTTTAGATAATTTATTGAATTCATCTTGTGATTTGTGCTAACATAGAAGCGTTTGTCATCTGCATACATTGGAAGTTTTGTATCATTGGTTGGTTGACAATTATTGGCATACACTATGTACAAGAAAGGGCCTAGCACTGGTCCTTGTGGAACTCCACCATGCATTGTAATTATGTTTGATCTGCATCTTTTTATGGTGTTATTTTCAAAGTAGATTGTTTCTGTAGATTGTAGGCAGTCAGTGAGAAATAATTTCAGAAGATTATGTGCTATTCCCCTTGTTCCATATTTTTCTCGTTTGTCTAAGAGTATGGTATGATTTACTTTATTGAGCACTTTGGACATATCCATAAATATTCCACAAACCTTCAATCCATCATCAAGCTTGGTTAGAATAGTATTGTACAAATATGTGATTGCAGTGATGGTTGAACTTCCTTTTCTAAAACCATGCTGATAGTCGGACAGAAGTGAGTTATCTTTGAAATGTCTTATCAGCCTGTTCAAAATGACATTTTCTGTTATCTTACTAATCCCCTATTACTTTGAAGTTTAATTTTCCTCCTTAATATTGGATGGCAATGATATTCTATGGCTATCATCATTCACTGTCAATTTTGGCCTATTATCTTGCGGTCGTGTTTTACGGCAACCCTTGGTGCACTCTGGCTGCGCACCTCTCAGTGGCGTCATTACATAAATTGGTTCGCTGCATTCATTACAAAATAATTCGTCTTTATTAGATAAAGCTGTAATTTTGTTGGTCAGTTGCAGTTCAAACTGTCTTCTTACACTTGCGCGCTGGCTTCCTTTTTTCATCCTGTTCCAATTTTGTTGATCGTAACGCACTACTCGCGTATCTGCGGCGTCTTCATGATGCCCACGTGGGCAGTATCGCAATAGCGAGCTCTCTTCTTTTAATTTGCTGAGGTCGGTTTTTAATGTAGAGATTACTTGTTGCAGAATTGGTACGGATTCCCTTAATTTACATAGCTCGATTTCGTGCTCGGTGCATTTTTGTGTTACACTGAGACCTCTTTTTAAGACAGATGAGAAAGATGCTACTACTGTGCCCGACGCCATCTTGAATCTACTACATGCCAAAAGAGTTGTCTCGAAAAAATCGCCCGTTTCCCCGCAGCATTACAATATTTATCTATTGAGTGTAAACTACGCGAGAGAGGATATTTCAAGTTTGATTTTATTATGAAATACTTTCATTAACGGAATGACGGCGGTTAGTGCAGTGGCTTCCTTGCCAGGTGAATCAGGATATTCTGAATAGTATGAGTATTCAGAAACATGTAATAGAAAGGTTTCGGCGAATTTTCGCAAACAAAATTCAATTACAAAAAATAAATTTGAGATCATTGTTTTAAAAGTTAACAGCTTTACAATGGACCTAATTTTCAGGCTTTCGACATAGGTTACGGGGCGCGGAAATCTTGAAACGTAACAGAGCGTCTAAAATGAGTTTTGTACGATGGTAGTGAATCGCAGCGAAAAGTGTTCTGCAGGTTGTACGTGCGCCTGATTTCTCAAATGTAACTTCACTGCAAACTTCTGTTTTTCGTTGGTGTCATGTCGTGGAAGCTGGCACCGCAACTTTCATATAAAAGATCTGGCACCATAATTTTGGGCCATTTTCAGACCATCCAAACAAATTGTCGGCTACCTCCTAATATCTCGAAATTCAAAGATCAAAAAGAGGCTGATAGAACAAACACCCGTACTTTCTCGAAAATATTTTTTTTATTTTCGAAAGAATTGTGTGCTCCTTTGGGCCATTTTTCAAAATTTCGAAACTCACCCCTAAATCGAGAGCAAGAAATGAAAACCACCCCAATTTCTCAATACTCAAAAATTTTAGTTCCATAATTTAGAGCTCCTTAGTGTCACCAAAACAGTTTTTGATTCCACCGCCCCCCCCCCCCGAATTTAGGTTTCGAAAAGAGGGGTAAAGTCAGCACCTCTACCATTTACCAAATTTTTAAAAAATGTTTGACGGTTGGATCAAGCAACTTTGGGGGGTCGTTTGGGCTACTTTGAAAAATGTCCCAATGTTTTAAACTCACCCCCTAACTACGAGAACAAAAAATGAAAACCATCCCAAATTCTCAAAACAAAATATCTTACACCATAATTTTGGGTTCTTAAATGACACCAAAAAACATTTTTTCCCCTTTGGCACAAACTCTAGAAAATAAAGTTTCAAAAATGGAATGGTAAAGCGTATTTACTAAATTTTCAAAACTTTTCTCTATCCAAACAAAATTTTGGGCTACTTTTGGTCACTTTTCAAAATTTCGAAATTCACCAGTATCTATGAGATGAAAAATTGAAAACCGTCCCAAAATCTCACAACCCAAAAAATTCTCGCACTATAATTTTTGATCCTTTAGTGACACCATAAACCTTTTTCCTGCTACCCTACAAACCTGAAAATTAAGTTTTCAAAAATGGTGGTTGAAAAGCTAGCACCCCACTCGCTCAAAACTATAAGTTTTCTTTATGATAAAACTCAAAATAATACCCGAATGGTACTACGATTTTACTTCAATTAAATTTTATTTTAAGAAACTAAACGTGATTTTGGTTTCTTGGCTAGACCCGAGCTTTTGGAACCAGACTCTTACGGCTAAGGAAATTAGCATGTTCCTCGGAAGTTGGCGGTGACCCCACTCTGGATTTTTGAGATCGGCACCGGCCTACCGTCAGCTAGCGGGGGTTTCCTCAACCAGGTATCTACCTCCATCAGGGGAACCACCCGAGCTGCGACAATGCTGTAAGCTCCCGGCATGTTAAAAACAGCATTGAATCGGATGTGGTCATGTTTGCGCCGACAGTTCGTCGCCGTCTGCTGAAGGCTGGAGTGGTGACACTCATAACACTGCGTAGGATTTCGTTGACCAGAAAACACCAACGCCTCAGACAACAATGGCGACGTGAACATGTTCATTTGTGTGACAAAATGTTGTGTTTTCAGGCGAGTCCTGATTCCATTTGTGCTATAGCGATGGTCGCGTACGTATTCGACCTTACCGTCGTGATAGTAATCTGCCAGCCTTTTGTTCCGCGCCATAATGGACATGCGTTAGGACATGGACATGGTTAGGGGCGCCATTGGATACATCTCGATGTTTTGCCTGTCATGTCGCAGGTTTCTTCAGGGTAGTTCGTCACTACCCTGAAGAAGCCTGCGAAATGACGGCCTCTCAGCCAACGACGCGGCGCACCCAGACAGCCAAGAAGTCATGAACTCGAGCCGCGGAAGCCTACGTGAACAATGTGCGATCTCGCCTCCTATGTAGCAATCTGAACAGCAATCGCTATATCAGGGATGTTTTAGAGCCCGAGATACTGTCCTTCTTGTAAGGAGCTCCACATGCCAAATTTCACTAGGACAATGCCCTTACACATTCCTCGCAAAATCTGTTTTCCGAGGAATGTGCAAGCTTTCTGCGAAGAACGACGAATACTTCTGCTTCCCTGGCCTGCACGTTCGCTTAACATGTCGCCCATCGGACATGTCTGGGTCATGAT